TTCTAGGATTTCTTGAACCAGTTTATAAAATGTTTCCTTTTAGGTGGCCATCTGGTACTCTCTAGTGAATAACCTTTGTTAGCAGATCAAAATGTAAACATAAAGTTCTTTCCCACATAGAGGATCTTTTTAATGAATTTCCAAGTCTTTTTTTAAATCAATTTCATCCAAATCCTTACCGTTTAAAAACTTTCCAAAGAACAACAAATAATTCCCCCTTTGTTATATATTATAAAAAAAAGGATCTTACAAAGCTGGAAACCCATAATTTTCTTTCCTTGGTTGAAGAGAACTCACCCAGCAAATGTCCAACTTGCAGGTCTGAAGGTTTTCAATCTTAATGAAACACTAAGAAAAAAATTAAACTCCAGGGTAATTAAAAAGATGAGGTTTGGACAAACTTTAAGTCCTTAAAAAGGCTGCATTAATGGCTCAGAGCACGATGAAACCCATGACTCCCAGCTGATTGCAAGTGGCTGCAAAAACAACAGTTTCTGCTGCCAGCTCACCCCCCCCAAAAAAACCCCAACCCACAGCTGTCTGGAATGCGTAAGGATAATCTCAAGATCTCTCTTTTATCCGGAGAGAATTATGGGCAGTCTGGATCCTGCATCCAGCTACCTTTTGGCTGCAATCTCTCCTGCAAAGCATGGGTGTCAGTTTTCCAGCCTCACTGGAAGCATGTTTCTTTTTCTAATCACACTTGGAAATTGCTTGTTAACTAGTTTTCAGCTATTAGAGACCTCAGGATTGACAAGTCTGAAAACACCAGGTGAGTCTGCCTTCAATCCTTAATGAAAGAAAAATTTAAATATAAGCTTAAGAACATTAAAAAATTGAAATAAACAGTAAAAAGCTAATTATCATTTTGATTTCAGAAAGTAAAAAAACAGATTAAGGGTCCAGATATAATTTGAAATAAGATTTTGGAATTAGTTATAAAGAACCCTTCCTGTGGGAAAGTGGACTTGTTTTGAATTTTTTCTAAGCAATTTTAAAAATTGGACACTAGAGAAAACTAAAGATTTTAATTAAAGGAGAAGAATACATAAACCTGATTAATAGCTACAGAATGACACAAAGTATTATAACACTGGAAATACTGAAGGATACTTTTGAAAAATGGAATCAGAAGTTAACATCAACAATGTCAATAGTGAAGTCTGCTTCTATGGATAGACTGTGTCCAAAAGATGTTTAGGATGAAATGGCAGAAGGAGGTTTATTAAAACTTGGATGTATCTTGTGAGAAGGGGCAAAAAGGAAACGAAATTAAGTTCTACGACATTACTTGAATGGACTAAAGATGAAGATTATTAGAAGTAAAAGGAAGGAATGTAAAGTTGGTTTATTTGATCAAGGTTAAAATAGATACGTTGTTATTTCTGGCAACCCTTAATGGACTTTTGCTGACACTGGGACTGAAATGACAATTCTTTATGGATTTGTTTATAGATAAGAGATGGGACATGGGATGAAAAGATCTTTGGTTGTAAATTAAAAAGAAGTGAAAAGTTACTAAAATTGTTTATACTTGTTATGATGAAGGTGGGAAGTCACTTCTTTATATGTTTCTTTTTATTATATCTATCCCTTCCTTCCTTCCTTCCTTCCTTCCTTCCTTCCTTTCTTTCTTTCTTTCTTTCTTTTTTCATTCTTTTTTCTTTCCTCTACATTTTTTCTTTTCCTTTTCACTTTTTACTCTTTCTATTCTTTCTTTTAGTTTGTATTAGTTTTTACTATTGCAATTATAATCTCTAATAAAATCATTAAAAAACAAAGGTCACTGCTGCTGAACGAACAACAACATTTCTCCCTTTAGAGCAGGGCTGTTTAGCTGCCAAGGGGTCAAGGCAGACCATAGAAAATTCAGTGGTAAGATGCAGATCAGTGTCAGTCCCAGCAATTAGCACAAACAGAATCCAGGGAGATTCCAGATGCAGAGCAGAGGTCAAACACCAAAACTGCAAGGTAGTAGGTACCATGTTCGAGTTCTGACTTTTGTTCAAATACAGTCTCCTCCCTGCCTTAAGTCCAACCTTCTAGGACCAGACCAGATCCGAATTCATCTTACAATTGAGTAAAGAGAGATGGGTAAGAAAGGAAAGCAGAATCCTTGAACTCCTATTTTGGCTTACCCTTTTCCAGGAAACAGATTTGTGTTCTA